TCACCGGCCGTCTCAATGTGATAGTAGTATCTACAGTGTCATTAAGTGTAAAAACACCGAATTTGAACTCAACCAATTTTAATAATGAAACCAAGAAAGATGACCACGAAATCGGCAGAATTATCTAGTACTGATAAATGCTCAGTTTCAAATAATGAAAAGCAAGTTAATCCGGTGTTAGTAAATTTAATTAATAACGCGATGAACACATTGGAAAAAGAGAAAAACTGAATAGCTGTAAAAAGATAAAACAGTAGATATTAGTAAGGTAAAAAGGGACTGAACGTGAGAAATATTTACATGTCTGGCGTTTGAGGAAAGAAAGTAGGGCAGAAAGCATAGAAAAACATGTTAAGAATATATGTGCGGCTGAAGTTCAAGTTAAGGTCGAACTAATTAAACATAAGACTGAACGGGATTATGCTTAGTTTGTAATAGGGGTTGCAGAAAGTTACTATACAAAGATAAGCTTACCAGTGAATTGGGAAAATTATTGAATTTTGTGAATGGGTGTGGCTTCGTCAATATACCGAAAAACTAAAAAAGCCTTAGGAGAACTGTTGAAATTTTCTACCAGAATGTAAGAGGACTGAGAACGAAATTAGACGAATTCTGAGTGGCCATTGCTAGCTGGAGTTCTGATTGTTTGCTATTTATTATTCAGAGACCTGACTCTCTCTGGAGTTAACCCACCTGGATAATGTAAAAATATTGAGATGCGATCGCGTAGACGTGCGGGAACAAGGGGGCGCTTGTCTATTGGCCGCACCGCGCTTCGAGCTGTAGTTTGTACCTATATAGAGTGACGTCAACATAGATTGTCGTGTGTTTGAACTGGTTTGTGCTAAAGTATATTTAAGAGAAAGATTTATAGTTTTTATGCGTTGTTTACATTCCACCACGTAGTTGTGATTTTTTTTTTTAATTTATTTTCTTCCAATTATACAATAAACGTTTTTAACATTTTTATCTGCCAAACTGCATTACAGTTTGTCGGCAGTAGTTCTCGTCTTACATGCTTATGTTTATACATATAATCTGAAGTATAATTTCTTATACATATACTAATATCTCCCAAAATCTATTTTATTATTTTATCTATACATATTTAGTACAAAGTTTGTTATGAGGTCCACATCAGCCAAATATCAAAATTGGTTCATTATTTTTTTTTTTATATACATACTGTATATACACATACATATACACTAATTCAACACATACTCAAACAGCACACATCGCATATAGACTGCTAATTTTAACAGTACGTTACTCGTGGCCTGTGGCGTACCTTTATGGACACAATGATAGATAATGTTTTCTTAGGATATTTTTTAAATGATTTTTTGAGATAACTTTACTAAGCAAGTCCGGCGGCAGCTCGTTATATAATTTCGGGATAACCCATCGTCTCGTGCGCATACCGAAGTAATTTTTAATTTTAGGTACTACATATTTTCCTTTTCTAGTGGATTGACGAGTAGGGTAGCCATATTCTCTTTCTACTTTAAACTCATTTTTATTATACTGTTCCATTATCAACTTTATTTTCACTTTTTTGTCTACAGGTACAATTTTACAAATTTTGAAAAGTTTATTATATTCTTTATTACACTCACTTTTCACTTTATTATCTACTAGTATCTTTAACAACCTTGTTTGTAGTTCTTTGATTTTATTTAAATACACTGGGAACGTAAGTCCATAGCTACCCAACCCGTAATCTATAGTTGTATCCGCAAGCGCATAGTACAGCATATGTAACATACTTCTGCTTAGCCTAAATTTCAGGTGGTACAATTTACCCAATACACTACGTAATTTGTTACAGATTTGCTGAACATGTATACTCCATACAAAACTGGTATCTATAGTTAGTCCTAGGTATTTGTAGCATGAGACTTGTTCTAACTTCAGACATTTACAGTTATTTACATTGTTATTTCTGTGGAAACAATCGTAGGTATGCCCTTTAATTACAATGTCGGCATGCTTTTGTCGATTGTATGGCGAAGATATTAACATAAATTTAGTTTTGCTTATATTAATTATAATACCATTATCATGCGCCCATTTAACAATGTTGTCTAAGTCTTTTTGCATAACAATTTGTATCGTCTTTGGATCTTTGTACGAGTACATTAGGCAAGTGTCATCAGCATACATATACATTTCACATGATCGTACTACTTTGCTCATTCCATTTACATGAATGATGTACCCTACTGGACCGAATACTGAGCCGGTTGGGACTCCATATTTGATTTTACCAAGGTCACTACTAGTTTCGCTAATGCGGACTTCTAACGTTCTGTCCTTTAAATAGTTGCGGAACCATAAGTTTGTAGGTCCTCGAATACCGCACTCTTCCATAGACTGCAGCAAGCCATCGTGGTCCAGTGTGTCAAAAGCTTTTTTAAAATCGATAAAAATAACACCTACTAGGTTTTGGTCATTAAGAGCGTTATTCACGTCGTCTGTAAATTTAGCTAAAGCCATGTCTGTGCTTCTTTTTGGCCTAAATCCATATTGTAAATCTGTAATAACATCATTATTTTCTAAGAATTCTGAAATTTGTTTGACAACAATTTTTTCGGTAATTTTATTGATTACATTAAGTATGGCGATGGGTCTATAGTTTGTGTATTCTTGATGCGATCCCTGCTTATAGACAGGTCTGATTATTGCTTTTTTTAGTTCTTCTGGGTAAACACTTTTTTTTAATACACATATTAATAAAATTCGCTATAATAGGATTAATGACTTTTTTTAATAAATTTTAAATCCTGAACTCTAATTCGATCTGACCCCGATGACTTGTTGCAGCTTAGTTTGTCTATAACTTTTATCACATCATCAGCTGATACCATTTTATATCGGAAGCTCACGTTACACTCGTCTATGTATTCTTTTCTTTTTAAAAAGGTTTGGTTACACTTGTGTTTAATATTATCAATTTCGTCAGTAAACGTTTCGCAAAACTTATTACAGATTGTTTTCATAGATTTTTAATTTTTTATGTATCTTTCAATAATGGTAATATGTTTTATTTTTCCCGAGCCACTGGTTTATTTTTCCCCAAATTTTGCGCATATCCCCATTACAATTAATTATTTCTTTCTTTTTATAATCGTTTTTGGCTTTATTTATTAACTTTTGTACTTTATTTCTGTATCTAGTATACTCTAATCTAGAATTATTATTACTAGGGTTTGATTTCCACTTTCTGAACAAACTGTCTTTAATTTCAATCATATTTAATAACGACTTACTAACCCAGGGTTGATTTTCCCTCTTTTTCAACTGTATTTTTATTTGCGCTGAGTCATATATATTACAAAAAATTGTTTTGATTCTACTATATAAACTGATAGGGTCATCATAATTTAAAAGCTCATTCCAATATTGTTCACTTAATTTCTTCTCAATCGCTTTGTTATTCAAACTTGTTTTGCATACATTTTGCGGCATACGCTTACCTATAACAGCGGTGAGTCCCGTTAGGTAATGATCAGCTAATGGACTCGTAAGTAAATACGCTTGCACCTCTGACGCGCTCTCAGTTCTAACGAACACATGATCGATGCAAGTGGCTGTCCGTCGCTCCGCACTCACTGCCTCGCGGGTTATATCTTGAATTCCACACTGTAATCCTCGTGATGATAACATATTAAGATAACTACAAGCGATATGGTCCAATTTATCTTCCAAAATATCAATATTGTAATCACCGAACATGATTATATCCCGACTAATCGGCACTCGTTGAATTACTCGTTCCAGTTCTTTTACAAACAGTTGTTTGTTTGTGTGAGGCGGTCTGTATATCACTATAATATCAAGATCGTAGTTTCGTACTTTCAGAATGCCGTGTATCATTTCACAATGGCTACTACTTGTACTATGTATTTGAAAAGAAAGATTTTCTTTGATATAAATCACTATACCACCTCCTCTTTTATTTTCTCTAGTCCTTGAGTATAAGTTATATCCTTCTATGTTGTATAAATTTAACTCGTCGTTTTTTACATTAACTTCTGTTAGACAAATAACGTCTATGCTGGCTATGCAATTTTTTATGAGTGCTATTAATTGGTTAAAACGTTTCCTCAGTGAACATATGTTTATATGTATTATATGTAGTGCATTTTTATCTTTATTTATATGTTTTTGCCAGTCATTAATTTGTGTGTATTTCGTATATTCTATATTTTGGTACTGTGGATGCGGATCAAAGTTAGAAGACATCAATATGTATATTATATATATATATATATATATATATATATATATATATATATATATATATATATATATATATATATATTCGTATCTACTCTTATTACTACTCTTGTTTCTTATTATCTAAAAAGGCCTCAATGTCACTCTGAGTGCGTATTTGATGGATTTTTTTTACTGTATCATTCTTTCTAATTAATATTCTGGCATTCTGTATCCAAATATATTTATACAAATCTTTTAATTCAGTCTTAACTTCCCAGAATAGACGTCGAAGATGCTGCGTTATATTTTCATTAATATAGATTCTCGTATTGTTATTGTTTTTAAATATTGCGCTATTAGTGATGGCATTTTTTCGGCACCCTATCCACTGGATTCGGTCTTCACGTGTTTGAAGTGTGACAATTATTGGCCTCGAGTCCTTCCCATCCTTTATCTTTCCCACTCTCCAAGCCTTGGTAATTTTTTCTGGACATAAATTCAATTCATCTGCAACCGCTCTGGCTATCTGTATGGTACTCATTCCTTCTGGTGCCTGGACATTTAACAGTTCTATGTTGCAGTCCAGCCCCTTCTGTTCCAACATGCAGACACGTTCCTCTAAAGCCTTATTATATTTTTCCAGGTAAACATTTTTTTGGGATAGATCTTTTATTTTATTTTCCTGTATTTTGATGACGTTGTTCGCCTCCTCGATGGCGTTCTCCAGTTTTGAACATTTTTTGCCGAGTTAATCCAATGAGTCGTCAACGACTTCATTAGTTTTCTGCAACTGGCATATTGTAATTTTTATATCTGACATATCTTTTTTCAAAATTCCCAAAACGTGTTTCCTGTTGGTCTTTCATTTCTTTAAGAGTATGCATCATGATCTTCATTTCCTCACGTAATGAATCCATCGTTTCTTTTAGTGAGCTTAGCATGTTCTCCGTGCAACAGGCCGGTTTTTGTACCGCGGATATCTGTCCGGTGGATAATTCGCCCTCCGATTCATATACACGTTTCTTTCTAGGGTTAACCCATTCAGATAAAATTACATGTTTATCTTTCATTTTACTTACATTAGTATCAGAACCGTACATTATGATCTTTTCCTCTTCCGTCGGCATTAATGTTCGCTCCATTTAGGCCTAAATAGATGTTTTCGCTGGCTCTAAGCAAAAATAATGATTAATCTGGTGGGCGGAGTCAACCCCCCGCACGCGCGTAGGTGGGGATTAGCTGCGCTTGCACTTATGTCGTAGCTCCTGTTATACTATTGTCTCTTCCTTATGATCCGTATTACACTTATTCTGTCCTTTTTTAACCGTTAACAAATGCCATACACACTTTACCAACAAGAAGAAACGTCCGAACGCTTTCGCGCAACCACGAGAACTATTATATATTAAGAACATATGTTATTATTTAGAATAATCGAGCAATGTTGTAGTAAATACAGTAAAGTCATAGTACTAGATTTTAACTTGCATTCATGCTCCACTGCTTACGTAATTACTATGAACATTTTGTAACATACTGTCAATTTTCTCAGAGCAATAGAATAGGTAATTGTAATGAACGCCAGTTGGATTTAGTGTTAAGTACATTTGATGGCGAGGAATCGGTGAGGGTGTATGCGGCTGATTGGGAGCTTGTGCCTGTTGATGCGCATCACCCCCTGCTTGAGGTAACAGTGTGGTTGTAATCCGCCGCAGACGAAAACGCTGCCGCAGCAGTAGAATTTTATAGATATCAGATAAAAGAGAAAGATGTGTGTATGCTCTATACAGTCGAAAGTTGATCATGTTTTCGCCATAAATTTAAATTTACGCAACACTTTGTTTCTCTTTTTTGTTGATCTGAAAAGGCGGCTGAAAGTATTTGTTCATAATTTATTAATTTAATTTGTTTCTGAGAATATTATAACTTTTAGGATTTTTGACATGTCTTACTCAGCATCGGAGTAAAAATAGCACATAAAGTGATGTCAGCATAAAGATAAAATAACTTAATATGATGTTATATACGTGTTAGTATACACGTGTAAGTGATATACGTCCCACTGTTGGCACAGGCCTCCCCTCATTTCTGAGAGGGTTTTAGGGCAAGAAAATGTCCGCCGCGCTGCCCCAATGCGTGTTGGCGAACTTCACATGTCTTCGAAATATTTTTTTTCTTATTCCTCAGACATGCAGGTTTCCTCACGATGTTTCCTTCACCGCCGAGCACGTGGTAAATCAGCTCTTAAAATTGCAATAAACAATTTCATTGGTGCTGGCGGGGATCGAACCTAGGTTATTCGCGTTCTGTTATATTTACAGCGAGCGTTAACCATCTGAGCTACCACGGCTCTCTAATAATGATAATAATAGCACTTATTAACAAAAAGTGACGTATAAAGTTGCGATTATTATGAGAAGTAATAACATAAATAAGAAATGAGAGAAACATTGATATTTTTATATTATTCATGCCGGATGTATGCAATTAACCATGATATTTACTGTTTGGTACTAAATTTTATGGTAAAAAAGTTTGAGATTGAAACGCCACACCGCACCTGCCGTAAAGCTTTTTGAAAAGTTTTCGAACACAACACATCACGTACCGAAATATTAACTTTTGTAATGAAAACTAACTTTTGTTACTTAAAAGATACTTTTTGTAAACTAGTAGAAGTTGTTAAATCGAAAATTTTCCATATTGAATATGCCTATGTCTTACAATTATTTATGACTAAAAGTACGAGAAAGTTTTTCTAAATGATGATCTCATTACTTAAATTTTTACGATGTTGGCGACAAAATATGTCAGGGAACGTCGGGAATCGTCATCGATCAGTGATTAATTAGATGATATAATAACATTGAACACGTACTGCCTTATTAATAAAAATTGCTTATTCGAAGCTTAATTCGAAGTTACACTTGGACTAGCTAATCTCAGAGTAACTGACCATTTACTTCGTTATTACAATGTTATTAATAAATATGGAGTAACCTCGGACTAACTATACATTCCTTACTCCGGGATTAACGTTTGTGCTATGGCAACCCACTTATTTTAAAAGTAAAAAGAGTGAGTCAGTGAATGGTTGGTGAATGCACTCAATGCTTAATGATGACATTAATGACAGTGACAGGCAATATTTTGAGTTTGACAAGAGATACGTGTTACGTGTTGTTCTTTGTTGCTCGTGTTGTTTTCGGACTCGGTGGAAAAACTAAGTTCTAAATATAATAATTTTTAATATTATTCGTAATGAAATTTTAGAATTCAGAAAAGAGCGTGAAGGGCAAAATTAATTAAATAACCATTTTTGTTTTGTTTTTTGTATATTTATTTAAAAAAAATCGTTAATAAATGCTACCCGAACAGAATTTCCTCTAACGGAGTTATTTACTAATTGTGTGGCCGGTGCTTTTGTGGATCTGGAGAAAGCATTTGATAAGGTTATAAGGAAGAAAATGTGGGAACTGTTGCCGGGATATGGTGTGGATGGTCGATTGTTAAGGGCTGTGCAGTCACTTTACTATGACTGTAAAGCCTGTGTGCGGGTAGGGCATGACCTGTCACCCATGTTTAGCGTCCAAGCGGGCGTAAAACAGGGTTGTGTCATGTCTTCCTGGCTGTTCATACTGTATCTCGACAGCTGTTTACAGAAGCTGAAAAATAGCTATTTGGGTGTGAAATTGGGTGATATAAAAGTATATTGTCTGCTGTATGCTGATGATGCAGTGCTTATTGCACCATCAGAAGCAGAACTGCAGGTATTAGTCACGTGTATGAAAGAGGAATGTGAAATTAAAGGTCTCCGTTTGAATGCTAATAAAACTAAGGTTCTGGTATTTGAAAAGGACGAAGAGAGAACGAAATGTGAAATATGGGTAAATCAGGAATGTCTAGAACAGGTAAATGAAATTGTATACATGGGGAGTGCTTTCAGCCGGGATGGAAGATGTGATTTAGATGTGGATAGGCGCGTCGCTGACGGAAACAAAGTCAATGGTGCCCTGAATGCATTAGTCAAAAGGCAAGGCGTGGTGAAGAGTGCACGCCTTGCAATACATAACGCAGTGTTGGTACCGACTTTGTTATATGGCAGCAAAACCTGGGTATGCCAGAAGAAGCATAAAAGCAAGTTGAATGCAGTGAAGATGCGATCTCTTCGTAAAATGTGTGGCGTTACCATAGCCGATCGAAAGCGAAACGAAGAGATTCGCAATATGGCAGGATTGAAAGATGACCTTATCACAAAAATTGATAGGGGCGTACTCCAATGGTTTGGGCACATTGAGCGAATGAGCGAAGACCGAATGATGAAGAAAATATATAGAGCGAAAGTAAATATTAAAAGGTGTCGAGGTAGACCGAGACTAACTTTCGAAGACCATGTGAGCAAATTGCTCGAAGAGGGGAAGGTCAAGAGTACTCGGATACCTAGACGTGCATGTATGAAGAAGTTAATGAACCTGAAAGAAGCGAAAGAGGTATGTAAGGATCGTGACACTTGGCGATCTGTTCTCTCTGGCTACCCCATTAGGGATTGTGCGTGAAGATAAGTAAAGTATGTAAGTAAGTGTGGCCGGTACATTTTCATCATATCCTTATACTACATCCTCAAGCAGATCTTGCTTTTGCATTGCAATGTATATAGTTTTCTTATTTATTATTTAGTTCTCGCAGTAAACACCGAAACCTTTGCTTCCCTCCAAAGCATTGTTCTACAGTGTTACGGGACCAGATGTGCGACCGGTTGTACATTTCTTTCTTTTGTTTACTGGAACGCAGGATAGGAGTGAATAAATACAAGCATAACTATAATCTCCGAGAAGCCTGCCTTTATTCTGACTGCTCAAACATTTGTTTTAATGAGACTTTTATTAAATATTGTTGAGTTATGTGTGCTGCTGCCTTGCCAATGTGCCACTGTATTCATGATCTCTAAATTTGCATTTGTCACAACCTGGAACAAAGCACTCATACTTCTTTAATATGAAATAATAGATTGAGGTGATTGTATTGAATCTAAGAAAATAACTAAGTACCTATATGGCAAAGGTGGGCTAGCTAGGTGATGTAAAACTTACTTGTACATTTATTTAATTGTATCCTTTCCTTTTTATATATTATTATCTAATGTTTCCAACGACTTTCGGGGTTCTAATATGTGGCTATCAATAGCCCCAGTCACTTGTCTAAATCCACATAATGAATAAAAACCTGCCATCACTTTGTTCTGCATCACACACACATTACATCACTTCTTGGCATTTTAATCCACTGTGCTGTTTTTGTTACTAGTGCTTACAACTTATGAATTTAAACGTAAAGTTTTACAAAATGTCAAAATACGCGACTAGTCTATGCTTACTCAGTCGTTAAACTAGGTACCGCCAAGGATTAACTTTTATTCCGAGAGTAGATACGGATTAGTTTACTCCCTCCTTACTCTATGTTTATTAATATTGAGATTAGATATTTTAAGCTTTAAACTAGGAGTAAAGTTAATCTTGCTCAAGTCTGTGTTTATTAATAGGGCTGGTAGAGTATATAGTAACAGGACGCAATCCTTATTAAGAGCTAGTGTGTTTACTAAGAGTATAAAGCTTGCAATATGTTTAATTGAAAACTTGGGAGAATCCCAAGGAGTTCAAAGCACGATCCTATAACGCAATCAAGCATTCCATCTTAGTCTTCAGAGGTAACAATGTATCTGAATTTTGGTTTTTAATCGACGATAGATGTAGATGTATATGGGCATTTATTAAATTAACAGCATTTATTTAGTTGCACTGTGTGCTCGTTTGTCCCCTAATTTTTAAATAAATGCAGTTTATTTTTACATTTACATAAATATCAAATAGGGGATGGAAAGAATTATGGAAAGGTAGAAAAAATATTAAAGGAAATTAAGAAAAGTAAAAACAGAGTGTTCTATATATAGGCTTCTGAATATACATTTTTGTATTTTGTTTAAAATATTATAAGCTATAAAAATATATGAAATTAACAAATATATATATATATATATATATATATATATATATATATATATATATATATATATATATATTGGGTAATTTTTTATTGGAATGCG